AGGATTTTTCTAAAACAATCAAACGCCACCTCTAACCCCCAACACCCAAAACAAACAAAAAACTATCACTGAGAAACTAAGGGGAAATGAATACTAAATCAGTACTCTCTCCCCCTCCCCCAGTTCACTCACATTCACAAGATATAAAGCAAACAGATCATGGAGTGTGCATTTGGGAAGCTAAATCAGAGTCTAGCTGAAGGTCGGCTTGAGTGGGGCATCAGCCTTGACCTGCCTCCTCTTCTCCACCTCTGAGTTGCAAGAGCGTGGTGAATTCCAGGCAAGGACACTCACATCTGGAGGATTGGTGCTGGCACAATGCAGGTAACACTGTCAGCCCTTGTCTGAGAATGGGCTCTCGTGGGTGGCCCTAACCTGAGACTTCCCTGGTCCACCCAGACTCTCCCTAGAGACTGAGGCTCTGGTGAGGATTCACTGATCTGGCCAGCCCCTGATTCCTCCCCTGAGACCAGCCTCTCTGCACTGAGCCTGCAGACAGTGCCCCAGCCTGTCTGGATAGCTCTGTGCAGTTAGCTCCCGGAAGGCCAGCCCTTGCCCCTGATCCATTTCTCTCTAGCCACTTAGCACAGACACTAGGCTGGGTGGTGAATGGCTCTAAACCAGCATCCAGGCCTGAGTGGCAGGGGACACCTGTCCAGAACTTGTCTACATTGCATCAGCTCCCTCTGCCAGAGACCCCGCATTGCCTCATCCTGTTTCTAAGCTTGAGCTTGCTTAGGCGCCACCCATCAGCTCCCTACTCCCTGTCTGGGTGATTCCTTTGATTGTCCACTTGTTCATGGATAGAGAGACTCAGAGTCTGTGAGCGACTGACCCTTTTTGTGCACTCATGTTCCCATTCTTCTCACCTTGTTTCTGGGTATATTTGACAAACATTTACCAGTTATCTACTGTGTGCCAGGCTGTGTTAAACCCTAGAGATAAAGAGTTGCTACAGAATATTCCTTGGATTCTCTCTGATGACTTATCCCTTAAGTGCCCCACAGGGGAAGGGTCTTCCAGAAACCTGCCATTCCACTTGGACACATCATAAGCCTTTGAAACATTGAGAGAAGCATCTTTGTCTTATATTTAGACATCACAGACAAATGGCCAGCACAGAGGGTCAATTGAAGTGCTTCATTGTTATATATTTCCAAGAATTTTTGTAAAAACAAGCTAGAAAACAGATGTACAAATGTCATGAGTTATCTAAGGGAAGGTATGTGATGAGTTGAAGGTCAGGTCCCCGCCCACTCCCATTTGGATCTCTACAATGTCAGTGGGATTCCTTCTGACTCCTTCTCCTTCTGCATGCTGTACAAAGACCAATTTGTGTCCTCTCTCTCTAAACGTCAGATCTTTATTCTCAGGTGCCTGCTGGACATCTCCACCTACGTGATTCACTCAGATTCAACCTGTCCCAAAGAGGACCCAGCACCCTACTCCCCAAACCTGGTGCTCCTGCTTCCTGTATTCCCTGTCTCTGTGACACATGCTTTACAGATTCAGGGAACAGTCCTGAAAGTCCTGTGAACTCTCCCATATCCTAGTAGGTATTCAATAAATGTTTATTGAATGGAGCTCCTTTAGCAACAGTTTGTGCCTGGGCTCAGATGAAACCAGCTCCTTTAGTGGGAAATAACTTCTTCAAATCAGCTGCCCC